GAAATTCCAAAACAAAGTGGGGCGGCGGTGGGCTGGATAGTGGTGGGGTGGACGGCAGTGGGCTGGGGTGTTTTGGTAGGATACTGGTTGGAGCTTAACCAAAAGATATGGGGGTATTTTGGACATTTTAATATCAAAGTCAAGACTCACTAAAAATGACCAAAAGTCAAACTAGGAAGATTTTTCCCGGACGGAGGGAGTACTTATTTGTGACTTTACATACACACATTCAATAATGTATAATCTTGTTCGATTTGGCTCATCATAAACTTAATCAAATTTCCTCCAACATTACATCCTTTTCCTATGTGGGGGTAATAATACTCTGTCCTAAATTTAAAAAAAAAACATTCCCTATGTGACATTTTATACCTACTTTTTTGGGAAAGAGACTCATAAAGCTACACAAGTAAATTGGACAGACTTGAACGTTGGGCTTAGAAATGGTCACAAATCACAATCTCGCTAATTCATTCCACGCAACAGGTGTTCTGTCTAATAGACTCAATTTGGCACTGGGCAGTTATACACTCGGTTAGGACATTGGTAACATTTAGCAGCAAACAGTTAAAATGACAAAGGAAAAAAAATCTTAAATGGTCTGGCTAGGAGGGGAACCAAACATAGATTCAGCCGCCTAAAACATCACGTCGTGTCATTTAGGATAAAGAATGTCGTAGTGACCTGGCCGGTATAGCAAGGTGAGAAGCGGAGGAGCATCTTTCTTTGTGGGGCCGCCGCCATTGGGTGGGTCCGGAATGAAATCGTGGTGGTTGACTACAGTGACACTGCAGCTGTTTTCGTGACCTGAGATGCTGCGATCAAGATAGACGACACGAATGGGAACACCCAAGGCGTCGGATAGAGCTGTGATGTGAACATGGTCACTCTCTTCTCCCATTGGCTCCACCGATGACTTGCAGAACTACACATTCAAATCATCATCAGAACACCGCCAACGAATAATATGGTAGCCGAGTACTATAAAAAGAAAAAAAAAGACATGATGAGGAAAAAACGAAATAAAAGTCTTAACCTGCTCCACCGAAGCGTTTGATAATCCTAGTATGAATGGCTCAAAAAACTCTGCCCGTTTCTTTATTTCACCAGAGGTCACAAACCTGAAGAACATCACAACTAAACCACACAAAGCACAGATTTTGTTTAGGACATAAAAAGAAAGAGTACAGAGCAGCATATCATGATAAAAGCACGCTGAGCACCCCCCCCCCCAAGCCCCAACTACCACCCCACCAAAATGCATGTTAACTTACTATAGTCAGAGATTGACTGGTCGCGGCATCTCTCTAGGAGTTCATCATGACTGCATTACACAAACATGAAAACCAAAAAGCTTAATCAATGATTCAAAAAATCAGATTATAAATAATTGTCAGTCCATACAGAAGCAATTTCTTCATGACACTGTCAAATAATACACTGGTACGAAAAGACTACATTCAAACCTTATTGAAGCTTCACTCCCTTGAAGAACACTATCAAGTTGCTCGAGGAATAACTAGAGTTTTTGCACACACAAATGTGAAATAGCATGATTATTATGAAGTTTCACCAGTAAAGAAAAGATAATGAAAGGCTAACAAGTTCTAGTAATGGTGAAAGGTTGTGGACAAATTGGTGCGATTATGAAGGAAAACATGTGACAGTATGTGAACTAAGAGAAGTACTACGGTAGTTTGCAAACAGTGGGGGAGTTATCAATTATCTAGATATACTCAAGAAACAAACCTGGTTATATTTTAACCTATACAGATAGCCTGGTTCGTGCTTCTATGTTTACTTTGTTATGGCTCTATGTGTCTGTTTGCTTTGGGGCTCACTAGGAAACAATCTTCCCACTCCTACTCCGAGTAGGGTCAGGGTCTGTGCGCGTACACAATAGACCCAACTTTTTGTGGGATTTTATTGGGTTAATTGTTGTTAACTTGGGGCATGTAGCCATGTAATATATCAGAATTCTTACATTTATGGATTTGATTGACATTTGCAGAAATACATTCGACTACTCCAATACTACCACCTATGAAATAAGAAAAGATATGAGTACCGCAAAGAAATCTTCAAATGTAAAGTCTGCATATCCCAGACTTTGAAGTGTCTTTCTACATTCCTCAACGTTGACTTTGACCCGTTCTACTTCTTCTTGATCTTGTGCTTCCAATATATACTCCTTCATATGACATCCAATGATCTTTTTTAGTATCTTAAGAGCAGAATAGGTATACACTCTGTACATGGGAACCAGCACTACATTGCACAAAACAACAAATTTAATATAGCATACCAGATAAGAAAACATGAAGCTTCGGAAAAAGCAGTTTCCATCTCCCCGGGTCCTTCTTATAGAAGCATATTGTTCGCTCAAAATCTGCATTGACATTAAACAATAGTATTCAGCACTACACTAACACATAATTAAAGGAAATTCTTTACACGCATGTATCAAATTAAAGGACTAGCCTTTATTTTCTGCAAAAGAATTGGACTTCCAGATTGATATTCTGCTTCCAATGAAGACAGAGGCTCCTGCACTTGACATTTGCAGAAAGACTTACAAAAGTTATGACATACTCCCTCCGTCCCACAAATATGTTCCACAATGGAACTGTCACAATTATTAAGAAAGGTAGAATGAATAATATGATTGAAATTGACGCAAAGGAGAATAACATGAGCCACACGAATTTTTCTTTAATATGCAGGTGCAACCATATCTTGGAACAAAGAAAAAAAGTAGAACCTTTTTATGGGATATAGAGAGAAACTTATTTTGTGCAATTACAATATTGAATCTATGCACTCTAATCCAGAAGGCATAAAGGAAAGATTAGAAACAGAGAACTTATGAATATACATATTAGCAGTTTCCCTTGCCTTATCACCCACAAATAGAAGCTTCTCCGCTTCCTCAGCCCGAATAATAGAATGTTGTTGCATAATATCCTTATCTCCAAACTTCGTCCAATCATCAACTCCGGATGTTTGAGCAGATGCCGAGCAACCAATCTCAGCATCACTTACATTCCCATCCTGACCTTGCATCATCTCCTCTTCAGCAAAAAAAAAGGTACCTCCCTAATAAATACTATTTTCTACAAAAGAATACATTTGGACTAGTAAAATTCAACAGAGAAAACATAGAGATGATGGCATTTGCCTGCAGTAAATACATTATGATGTGATTTAGGCATAGAGCTACAATCTACTCCGTATTTATTTTGACACACCTTTAAAGCAATAAAAACACAAGAAAATCTTAATGTGATTAAAGAATTCAGTTAAAATGGGTAAAATTAGAAAATTGCAGTAGATGTTGCCTAAGGGTATGTTTGGATTGAGGTAGGTAAATTTTTATTAGGTAGGTAATAGTAGGTAATTGAAAGTAGGCAAAGTAAGGTAATAAGTTGAAAAATTATGTTTGGATATTTATTAGGTAATGTGAGGTAGGTAAAACAATAAAATTACTTAAATATCCTTTTGCTTGTTTTTCTTTATTACGTGCTTCACTCTCATTCTTCTCTATGTCATCATCTTCGTCTTCAACTATGTCTAGAGTCCAAGCCTCGTTATGATCCCACATAGCAAATAGTTGTGTAAGAGCAAAAAAACACAAAAAAAACAGCGAAAAAAACAAAAAAAAATCAGAAAAAAAAACATAAGAAAAAACGGCAAAAAAATAAAACGAAAAAAAACAGCAATAAAAAACCCCCAAAAAATTTTAAAACAAAACCGGAAAGAAACATTAAAAAAACCAGAAAAAAACAAAGCATGTTATTACAACAATTAGAAAAAAAACAGCAAAAAAACACAAAAACAGAAAAAAAAAGAAAAGCAAAAAAAAGGAAAAAATTGAGACCTCACCTTATGGCAGAGGGGGCCAATCGCAGAAAGAAAACAGCAGCAGAAATTTCACAAGGAAGCAGCGGACAATCGGCGATGGGAGAGGAAGCAACCGCAGGGAAAAACAGAGAAGGGCAGAGCAGCGGAACCAAAAATTTTACCTTGGTTGCTCGCCTTTTCCGCGGAACCAGATTTTACACTGTTCAGCGGTCACAATACCTCCCTCCACCTCCTCTTACCTTCCTTAATTTTTTCTCCCAAACAAGGTAAAGATTGAATTTCACCTCATTCTACCTCACCTTACCTCAAACCAAACACAGCGTAAGACTCAAATGGGCAGCTATGCACATGGTATTAACTGTTCAGTTGACTCTTAGGCAACATTATTGCATTTTAACTAGTCGAAAACATTGTTACTACACGAATTCCACTCCCAGGCATTCTATTTTTCAAATCATCTTAAAGTCTGTGAGAGAGTCAACTAGATGTCTAGATTGCGCAAGGGTGGGTAGATGTTTTGTGGTTCCAACAACAAAATTCAGAGTTTTTACCTGAACAATAGATTTGGAGTAGGAGTAATCGATACTTTTAACGTAACAAAAGAAGAAAAGAATCATGTTTAAACAACAACAACAAGCAATATGTTAGAACTAAAAGTTATAATCACAAACTTGAACAGTTATAATAGAGCAAATACTTCTCTAAAACGTGAAAATAAGATCTGGACAGTGGTGTTTCGCAAAAATCTCTGGAAATAGAGCGCTAATACATGATATGTAAAGTGGTGTTTCAGATTCAAAATGAATATCTACAGATTGACAATAGATCTACAGATTGATTACTGGCAAAAACATCTAAAACTGTTTTTCAATCTCTGGATAACTGAAACAATACCTAATTTCGTTAAGGCTGGAAGTTGGAGCAAAGAAGACTGAAAGATAAAATACTGTACCTGGATTGAAGACGGGGACCTTGCCTTTCGAATAAGAGCCAAGAACGAAGGTGCGTTTGGTTATGCAAAAAAAGAAAAGAACTTATTGGGCCAATGGGCTTGCTGGGTTGGGAAAAGTAGAAAAAATTTGAATTGAGAAAATTGAAAGTGAATGGAAAAGAAATACGGAGTAAATCAAATTGTTATTGTTTGGTTTCCGTTTTAATTTTCATTCTGAAAATTGAACCGAATAGGTTGAAAAATTTTGTTTTATACATATGAGTATATGGATATGTAAAAAAAATTATAGATTTAAAAATGTAAATAACATCAATTAAGTTTACTTGCCTTAACTATTAAGTATTCTTAACCATATTATAAACTTTAAAAAACTAATTATATAAACACCAATAACTAATCTTAATTTGGAGTTATATTAATAAAAACTAATACGAGTATTTTATATATTTTCATAAAAACTTTGATGTTATGATGAAAATAGAAATATTATACGGAGTATCAAAATGTAAATACTCCAAAATTGGTAATTACACACGAAAGCTTTTGGAGTATTTGGAAACTCCTATATGTTGGTTGGGCACTCATTATTTTCTCACTTGAAGTGTGTGCGTTTGATTTGTCGAAATCTCTTTTAAATTATTTCTTTCACAAGCAAATTTAGTTCAGGTTATAGTAACGATGTAAGTGTGTAACTTGTGAGTTGTAATTCAAATGTTTTCGAACCAAAACTTTTAACATTTACATAAATTGTTCAATAGGCGGTCTACTCTTTAGTTAAACAATTTATTTGGAGTAATCTTTTACAGAGTAGACTAATAGCATTAAAATATTTTAGTTGGTTAAAAAAATTGATGTTATTTCAAATTTATTAAACAATAATTTTCATATTTAGAATTATTTTAGGTAGTGTTTGACAACTAGCATTTCATTTCAATTCATGTATTTCAATTCTAAAATTTGAAATCCTGAATTTTAAATGACAAGGGGGGTGCATGGATTCCAAATTAAGCTTGGTTTTGAATGTAAAGAATTTGATTCAAATCCAAATTCAAAATGCTTAAGTTTTCCAAACATGGAATTTAAGCCAAATCTGGATTTGAAATCCAAATCCATGTTCCCAAACATACCATTAATTTTTTTGTTTTACAAAAGAGTGCTTTTCAAATTTTTTTACAACACACATTATGTTTTATATAAAAAAATATTTTAAAAACTGAAAAAACCTAAAAACCAATAATAAGTGAATAAAGGTTAAATGATGATGAGCATAGGTCTAGGCGAAAATGAGCTAGGTAGTGATGAGGCTGAGCTTGGGTACAATGCCGAGCCTAGACAAGATTGGGCCGAGTTCACCCAAGACGGGGCCGAACTCGCACCCTTGCCTTCTCGGACAAGATTGGGCTGAATTCACCCAAGATCTACAAAGTTTATAGAATGTAGGTCGCTGATTCATGGCTGATATGCCCATCAAGCATAATTCCCAACATTTTTTAGTTTGATTCCAAATTTCTATGGTTTAATTTTTATACGAAACTATAGACAGAATTTAAGGTAAATTTACACTTCAGTTCAATTATGTACCATAAATATATATATATATATATGATGGTTGTTCATTTCAATTTTATACGGTTTTGGTTTTGGTTCTATGCAACTTTTGAAGTCTAGATTCTTTAAATACACAAAATTTAGAATGTTTAAATTTTAATTTTATTATTCACTTGTTAGAAATGCTTCAATACGCCAAAGACCTTTTGGTCTAGCAATATCAATATGTCTCATCAGGTACGTGGTTAGATGCCATGGATTCAAACTGTAATGGATAAAACTATGTTAAAAATGATGAACAAATATTACTACCATATCCTCTATGCCTCTGCAAATAAGGGTTGTGAAGGGTGTTCCTCCACCCAAAGTCGAAATTTTTTTCTTTGTTCTTTCGAAAAATGATCAACCACCATTAGTCATGTATAACCGTCTGATCAAGTTTAAGGGTTTCGCGGAAATGAGACTATCTTTTTTTTGTTCAAATAAAACTTGTATTGTTACTAATTGTATATATGAATAATTGATGAATTGATTGAAGTTGTTCTTTCACAAGTTTGGATCTTTTCTTAATACTCCTATAAATTCCTATCTTCTTCAAATTAGTTGATGAATTACAAAAGTCAAAAATGCTGAAAACAAGAGAAATGCCCAAAATATCTTCGTTATTGGCAGTAGCATTAATTGCTCTGACCATATGCAACGGCTCTGCGCAACTACCGCAACCCGCACCGCCGACGGGAACCCCAACCCCGGCGGCGCTACATCGGTCCGCCCAAGAATTCCTGGACGCCCACAACCGAGCTAGAACAGAAGTCGGAGTGGGCCCACTCGCATGGAGCCAGACGCTTGCCAATGCCACCAGCCTGGCGGTGCGCGTGCAGAGAGACAAACAGAACTGCAGCTTCGCCGACTTGAGCGGCAGTAAGTACGGCGGCAACCAGCTGTGGGCGGGAGGGATGGCGGTGACGCCGCGGACGGCGGTGGAGCACTGGGTGGGGGAGAAGAACTTCTACAGCTACGCCAACAATTCTTGCATTTCCGACCACAAATGCGGCGTGTACACTCAGGTGGTTTGGAAGGAGTCGGTGGAATTGGGCTGCGCTCAGGCGACCTGCGCCAAAGGGCAGACCACCTTAACCATATGTTTCTACAACCCTCCGGGTAACATTGTCGGAGAAAGACCGTACTGATAGATGACGTGTCTCTTTCTCCTTCCATCTTTGTCAAGAATCATTCAAGCTTCCTCATTTCTAGCCTTGAAAAATAAGAGTTGGGTTTGTATGCAAGTCATATAATGGTATGGTTGAAAACTTTGGGTTCCATTCTTAATACATTACACCTTCCATATGAATTTAATTTCCCATTTTCTAAAAAAAAACATTTTTTAAATGAAGACAAGAAAGTGTATATAACATAACAGACAGTTACAAAAGAATTGAGGGAGTATATAACAGGCAGTAGACAAGATACTCTCATAACTGCAACAAAGCATTTGTATGAAGCCAACATAAGATTATATATACAAGGAATTGAAACATCTAGTTAATGTAAACCTAGCTAGCTATGCATTGTTAAGACTGAGAGTTTTCTACCCATTTACACTGCTGAAGAAAGAGCAAGAGAACCCAGGATCAGCTTTAACTTCACCAGTGGGACGCAGTGGAAACAATTATCTCACTAGCTCCTTAAATATAAGATACCGGAAGGCGAAATTATGAGGAACCCATTCGATGTTCTTGCGACCTTTTCTGAGCTGAAACTTCTTCTTAGTCATGCTAATGCTCTTCTTCCTCAGAGAATCGGGCAAAGATTGCCAGACCATCTCTACCACGCTGGCAGAACTCATTCCTGAATCCTTGGCAAATGACTCCACAACCTTTGGTAACAAAATCTTGTTGTCCTTTGTGACGCCAAAGGTTGCTCTAGTGTATTCCTCTTTTGCTGCTTCCAGCTCCCGAAACACTCTTTTGGGCGTAAAGAGTCGGACCTGAAAATTTTTAAAAAAATGCCCATTGTGCATCAGCTGGAAAGATGATCAAAAGTTCAATCTTTTTGTTTTAGACCCAAGAAAGGTTTTATACTCTAAACAATAAGTACCGCGGGATCGGAGTGGTTTCCAGAAGAGAGTGCAAAATGCAGTAGAGGTTCTGGATGTTCAATCACAAATGCTTGTCGTTTGTCTTCTGTTCTGAATTTCGCCTTTGATGAAAGAAGTACCCGAATCCACTGCATATAAAAGTATCTAGATCAGCACTTAATGAGCAAAGACTAGACTGCATTATAAGGGAGAATTGGTTGGGGGTGGGATAAACCTGTCCAGGCCGAGACATTCGGCATTTGAGTATAGATGTTTGTATTGCATCCGCACTTATGATGCACCCCCCAACATTATAGGCAGCCTGGATTAGAAGAAATGAAGTGCCAAGCTTAAGAGAGAGCATCCTTGCCAAGCCAAACCAGAAGAATTTTATTGGGTTGAGAAAAACGTGTATGTTTTTGCTAACCTTTAAGAGAAGGAAAACTTTCTTCATGCTGCTTTGTGGGATTCCATAAGCCAAATATGCCTGTTAAGATTTCAAAATTATTATTGAAATTTCGGGTTCCATCTTAATAAATATTAGCACAAAGCATGCAAATTTTAGGAGAAGAAATTACATGCATAACCAATGCATTGTGGATGTTAATCCAAAATGCTAGTTTCTCCTCATGAGTTTTCAGCCTGCTTGGATCAGTTTCATCTAATTGACAAATAAGTGACCTACAATGCAAAAACCGCAATGAGCAATTGTGACACAGTTGACACTGAACATGGTAAGAAATTATCGTGCATAGTACTCAAATGATGTTTGTTTGTTACCTGTAATATTGTAGCAAGGGCTCAATCTCACAAAGTTTATGATTATCTCTATATATACATTGTATTTCGATCATTGTGCTGTAAGGTCCACTGAAATCCTTAAGCCCTTCAACGTGGAAAGGGTTGTCCAAGCGCACGTCAAAAGATGAAACATTCCTAAATCCCGGGCTCCACAGACCATCGTGCGAATATGGATTTGGTGATGAGAATGCTGAGGTTGCTGGAGAGGAGGAGGCTCCCAGCTGACTTGTTGTTAGTGGTGGATCAGCAAGCTTGCAGTATATTGTGCTCATGCATTTTATCATTTCCTCTGAGAGCTTGTTTGGCGTCTCTGGAACATGATCTATGGTGATATGGTTGAAAACACGCTCCCCTAAACTGAACATGTTTGATGAAACACTCTGTGCATACTGCAAATAAAAAATATTAGTACTCCAGGGGTGAAAATTCTTCCTAATAGGGTAAATTTTAGAGTACACACTCTCCCAGTTCTGAGATGCAACTAACCTCCCTCATTGACAAAGGTTGAGAATGACAAGCGCGCACAGATCTGCCCAAAGTGTCTTCTGGCGTTAATGTTCTGTTTGGTAGACCTGAACGCTGAGATAGTGAAGAATGACTTCGTTGAACACGAGAATCAGAATTTGATGCAACTTCGGCAAAGCCATTACTCTCTTTCATGGGTAACTTTGAGAAATTCAGCCTTCTTCTTGGGGTACCACTTGAGGGTGGTTTCAGTCTATCGTCCCTTCGTGGAGGAGACAAGGATGGGAGCTGTTGATCAAAAGCTTGCCTGTAGAGTGAAAGGAGGTACTGTTCCAAGTGTCCAACCTCTACCTCTAGCACTGCAATTTCTCGAATAAGTTCCCTCGTTGGCTGCTATCAATTGAACCAAAGAATGTATTATGATTTGGGTTCCATCCTAAAAGTTCAAATGATATTATAGATGCCGCGCAGCGTGGGTCCAAGAAAGTGTAATGTACCTTAGTAATTGGGGTTTCAGCTGTGGTCTTATGGGAGGAGGACCCATAACCCAAGGCTTTCTCTAAAGCACATCGAACCGCAACTTGGTCCTGCAATCTTTTCTCTAGCTGCATTATCTGCATCGATAGAAATGCGTGAACTATTACAATCATCAAATTCCAGTTAAAATCTTTTCATGTCTCTTGATTATATTGTTTGTACCTCTTTCCTCAATGAGTTTTGGACCTCAACACAAGATGATGGTTTCTTCTTGCTCTTTACCAAATCATGAAAATGTTCCATATCCTATCACAAACACCACTTCAAATTAAAACTGCAAATATATCAAAACTAATCAAAGCCAAAACTGAAACTGGAAATCATTGTCATGCCTGACATGCCATGTTTAGTCATGTGTGCAGTAATGTTGCAGGACATTCAAATGGTGGGCAAACATTATACTCCCTAACAATTCAAACTCTTTTTAAGCAACAAAAAGCAGAGAATTGGGGCAAAATGAGCTAAACATTCAAAATTAACCCTTTAGACCCCTTCCTTAATCATAAAAAATGAATATAAATAAAAAAAAATATCATCATAAACAACCAAAAGAACTAGGAGATTCAACACTGCCAGATTGCCAGATGAACAAAAAATTAGGGGAAAAGGGGAAATTTTTTTACCATCCGAGGCGAAAAAAAGAATGATCGACCAAGATTGAATCTTTTTTTCCAAATGCACCCCAAACCAGGAAAGTCTCAAAGAATAAAAATCCCGGAATGGGTCGTCAAGAAAAATCTCGTCTTGGGAATCAGAAACCAGATTTGTTTCAATTCCGCGGCCATAAACAGAAACGCAGAGAACAATCTGAAAGAGAAGAGGAAAGAGACGATGTAGTGTGTATACACAGAAAAAAACAGAGCCCGGAGCTTTTGACCTTGGGAAAGATTTGATTTTTTCCCCTTTTTTCCTCTTGTTTTTTACTTTCCTCACAGTAGTGTGATACAGTATATACACTTTAGCGGAGCTCCAAGAACAGTTTGTTACTCGTGTATATGAATGGAGTGGCTTTTTGGCAAGGGAGTGGGGGGGAGGTGGAGGGACCTTTTTCGTCTTAAAAGGATACACAAAAGTCATCCCCCCTATGATGCAATCTACCGTATGTATAATGAATGATGACTCCAAATGTCAAAGGTTATGTACAAGTAGATGAGATGGAGAAATCAGAAGAAGAAGAAGCATTAGGTAACTAAGTGGGACGAGATCAAAGGTCATCAAACTAAACTAGTTAATGGATTTATGGTCCATCTACTAACTAACTACAAATCAATTGAATAGATAAATGGTACTACTTGTTTTGCTCCATCTCTTTCACAACAAAAAGGATGACATCTCATCTCCGATGACCCTTCAGCACCGATCGAACAGGTAGTTGAGACTTGAGATGAAGTAAATTTTGTTATAATCTCAGTCTGTTGACATGAGAGTAATTCTGTGTCTGGTACTTTCAGAAGTCCCATGCTCCACATGGTTGCGTCTCATATACCAACCATTGATTGCTCCATTCTTTCACATTTCTCTAAATTGTGGACTTCCTAAAGTTCATATTCCCACTCTTTTTTATGAGTGAATAAATTGTACGGAATACAAGGTATGATGCATAAATTCTTAAGTTCTTAAGGACTCAATTAAAATTTTAGTTCATTTAATTTTTTATTAATTTGCTTATATGAGAAGTTCAATGCACTGTTTATTACTCTCTTTGTCCTAATTTAAGCTCTCCATTTCGGTTTATGATATATGACTAAAGTAATTTTCAATGTCTAATACAAATTTTATTTAATTAGTAGTCAACACTCAACAATTTTGACTAAAAACATAAAAAACTGAACAAATAATCAGAGACATTGGTAGTAATTAATTTATATGAAAATGGAAACGACCATCATTAATTTTGACTCACATACAATTTTTTTTTGCTAATACAAAAAAAGGGTTGTTTGTATGTCAATGAAGAATATTTAAAGAGATTGCATTGAGAGGAACTTTGTACCAATGTGTGAACCAAAAGTGTTGTATATATAAAAATAAAAAGTATAGGGTAGAGTATATCTTGGGATAAATTAAAGAATGTGGTGTAACCAAACATGACTAAAAAGAAATTAAAGGCCTATAAATCACCAACCTCAAAAGGGATGAAGAAAAAAAAGGGGTTAAAACTTACTGTAATTAATAAAGCTAGAAAACATTGGATGCTCGAAAGGAAATGAAATGAAGTTTTGTGTGTTCTACTTTGTCTCTAATACAATTAATCACCTTTTGAAACCAACGATGTCCACTTTGTTCTTGAGTACTCATATGACTACCGTTTGTCAAAGAATCCTTTAACTTTAAAAAAAAAGGGATAAATGAAAAATTAATATAGAGTATGTATTATTTAAGAGTGATGCTTGCATGATCTTAATGTGGATTTTCTCATTTTTTAATGAATTTTTATGTGGATATTTTTTATTTTGCAAAAGAATCA